GGTCTGCACAAGTAGTTCCTAGATCTAGTAGTTCCTAGATTTGTGTTCCTAGGTCTTGTTAGTTATTTGTTCACAGGATTTTCAGACACTAGAACAGGCTGCCTAGGGAGGTGGTGGAGTTACTAACCCTGGAGGTATTTAAAAGATGTGTAGATGTGACACTTAGGGACATTGTTTAGTGGTGGACTTGGCAGTGCTAGAATAACACTTGGGCTTGATCTTAAAGGTCCTTTCCAACCAAAATTATTCTGTTGTTCTATTTTTAAGTATTCTTTGGAGTATTTACACTTACAAATAATCAGTTTGAAACTTGGTATTGTTTGAGTTTTAATACATCTGGAACACCATAATCCAAGACTATGGGACTATCAGCGTTATTTCTTTGGCAATTATTGTAGTTCAAGTTGTGAGGTGCTTTTTCTGAAGATGGTACTAATACGAGCCGCAGAGGAAAAATTATTGAAGAATTTTTGCCTGTAGTATAAATGTTATTCAGTTTTGGGTTTATTTAACATGAAGCTGAACTTTTTTTAATTGAATCAGTATATTTGTCTTTGTGAGTGGTCTATCTTTAGCCAAAATAAAGATATTTTTGTAGCTTGGTATTTGAAGCATAAAAAATTTATCAGCTGGGAAGTGTGAAAGTAATAGACTTCCATAATTTCAGTGAAAACCCCGAAGTTTCAATATTGATATTTTTTCCTTAGAAAAAATCAGAAATTTCACAAAGCTTCTATGAACTGCTGTAGTTTCTGGTGTAATTTTTCATGAGAGCAAAGTAGAGACAGAATAAATTAATTGCAGATCTAAGGAATGTATTTGTATGAGGTGCTATAATGTTTTCTTTCCACTGTGGTAGAGTTTTCTCAAATTGTAGGGATGGATTCCTTGGCAGCCTCACCTGAGAGAATCTAGCAAGTCATCTGCAAATAAAAGCACATTGAGAATGATTGTTCCAGTTCTCTTTGTCTCTTTTTTTGGATGAGATTTATTTACCTCAAGGGTCATAAGTTGTCAGACTTTTGATCTATACCCTTCTGTACCCATGATAAATAAATGTTTGTGTTGGCTTAGGATATACTTAGTAAATAAATGCAAGCATTACTGTTGAAAAAAAATACTTTCCCACATTTATTTAGCAATGGTAGCATGGTGTTAGTGGAATGATAAAGAGTGTTTCAGAGATTTTCCTTTTTCTGAAAGCATGGATGCTTTAATAGGGAGGAAGAGGTTTTTTCCTCCTAAGATTTTGTTCCGTAGTACCTAGTTTATGATTTTAAAATAAATATATACATAAAAATGGAAAAACATTAATTTTAAGAAGTCTAAATACTGTTTTATTACCTTGTGCAATACCAACATTTACATAGGGTTGCTTCAAATCAGATTGCAGCCTTGTGTAGGACATTGTGCAGAGACAGTCAAAGATTTAAGCTAAATTTACACTTGAAAGTGTTTTTTGCTACTCTTCTGTAGATGCAACTTGTACTGACAAAAGAGTGCATAAATTTTGCTGGGAAGTACACTTTTTGTCATTATAGCTTCATCAATTGAAGATCTTTTGCCATTAGTGTAAAAAGGCAATAGAGATATTCATTGATGTATTAGTTTATTGTGTTGCTAAAATCTTGAAGTGGAACTGCTTTAAAATGTGGGTTTTCTTTTTTTTAGCACTGGTTGGACCTTTCAAAATTCATTAAGAAACAAATAAAAAGTAAGTACAGTGTCTTTGCCTGTTTGTTACCTCCTTTAGCATTTGAACTTAAAGTATTTGAATGTGATTGTGAATGTTTAAATATGTCCTTTAATGGAATAAATAATTCTTAGGAAAGAGATTTAGTTTAATGACTAATTGGCTGACTGTGTCATGTCTAAATGCAAGAGCACTTGTAAGCAATAGACCAACATTTGGTAGCCCTCGTTAAACATTTGCTGTTTGCGTGATGCAGGGTAGGTTGCCAGGTAATTTTAATCTGATCTGGGAAATCAAGTTGCCTGGACACAGATCTTGGTTTCTGTCACTGCTCATGCTCCAGAACACATTTCCTGTTTTGTCTTGTTTTTTTAAGAATAAATGAAAAGCTTTTCATTGTATCACAGTTAACCTTTTTTGTTTGTATGTTGTAAATAAAACTAGCAGAAATACCTGCTGTTTCATCAGAGAGTTTTATGTGGCAGGGTTGGGTTTGGCCACTGGGTGTTTTTTTTTTAATTGGCTAAGGCAGGCAAAAGTTGCTTGTGGATCTCTAATAATCTTTTTGCAGGCTTGGGTGCAGTACAGCACTGTCACTAACATGTTTTGTTAATGTACTGCTGTCGGCAACAGCCATAGGCCAACTGATAACATACCTTCTATGAGACTAAAATACAGCATTTTGCAAGGAAATTGGAGACCTCTTTGCAGGACCTCACAGAGATGGGTCTTGATAGCTTCAGTGGTGCTTTGCCTTTCTTTCTGATAAGTATCCAAATATCTGGACACTTTTTGTAAACAGTGGAGTTCTTTTTCAAAGGCCTCTAGGACAGTTTGCTTTCACTTCATGGTGTGTGGATGTCAGTCTGCTAGAATAGATGGTAAACATAGGTTCTATGCGTAAGGTTTTGGTGGTTGGCTTTCTTTCACCTTTTCATCACATCACAGACTGCTTTACCTTAAGTGACTCAGTGATTTTCAGGTGCACTTTCTACGATAGTTTTGTCCTCTCCTTGATTTCCTTGAAAATACGGAAAACAAAGAGTTCTGTAACACCTTCAACCAGTTCAGTTGCACTATTTTGTCTGAGCTTAATCTGAGAAGAATTTCTGAAAAGAAGTTGACCAGGCCCTGCCCTAAGGAACACTGAAGGGGGAAGTAATTTGATGTGTGTTGTAAAGGTCTGTCTCACACCAGGATACTTTTCTTTACCTTGCACTCAGCAGGTGCTTTGAGAAGAGTTCCTTTTTCATGCTGGATGTTGCTCACTGCTCTTTTTTTTCCCAGCAGTGGGCAGGTAAGGTTCATTATCTCGTTGATGCAGGCCTTAGCAGTGGTGCCCTAGGGTCCTATAGCCTGTCTTCTAGGAGCTATCATTGGAGACAGTGGCAGAGCTCTAATTGTCGTTTAGTAGAGTTAACCGTTAATGGCCACAAATATACTGTGTTGATGTGGTGTTACAGATGACCTTAGAAAGTTGTGAAAAAGAGCCCTTTTTCCAGCATTTACTGTACCAGCACACTGTTGGTCTGGAGGGTGAGGCTCAGGCAGATACAGATGCATTGGTCATAGTCTCATGGTAGCTAGAAAACATTTTCTTATCTGTACTAAAGAGACAGTCAGACCCAGCATTCACCTTCTGGCATCAGAAAACAATTCTGGCAGCTCCACTTTGTGGAGTTTGTTCACTTTCTGTGTTTGTGGGTGCCTTCCAGAGCCCTCTCCAGCACTTTTCACCTTAGCTTACCTTTGCTCATTCACATGTATCAATTGAAACCTATTGAGTAAGAGTTTTTTTTGGAGCTGTGTTTGTGCCTTGTAATGAGAAGCACCACCCACTCCCTCGCTCTCCCATCTCCCCTTGCACCCAGAAACAGCAGTGTACCTTGAACTTGCTGTCAGTCAGAGCATGCTGTGGGGCACACCTCTTTGAACAAAAATGTGTTTGCCAAATAGACAGTTGCTTGATTAATGATTAGAGTATCATAATGTATGGTAATAATCTACTATGGTTTTTCATTGCATGCCTTTTTAAATTTAAAAACATTAAATATTTATTTATTTAAAGACTTTGAAAAACATACTTTATTTTGGGTTTCTTGGGTTGTGGGGTGGTGGCTGTTGTTCTGCCTTAGCAGAACTGCAACTAGAGTAAACTTTTTTCTCCCCCATTCAAAATCTCTGCAAATACAGTTGGACCTCCGTACACGTTGCATTTTCGAATTAAGTACTATTCATCAGAACCAAACAACCTTCATGAGGAGTTTACAAGGTAGGAACTATGCATGGTTAACTGGGTGACTGGCAGAGGGGTAAATAAGACATCTAAGATATGTGGGGTACTGTCAGCAGGTGATTTGAGCTTTCTTTCTAAGAGTGGTTATTTTGTCTGACTTCTTAGTTGGTTTTCTACTGTCAGAGAAACATCTTGCTGCCAAAAAATATTTATGGGCCTCTCCAAGTGCTTTGGTCATGAGGAGATGCTGTGTTCTGATGCTTTGAAGCAAAGAAGGGAAGCACTGGGTGGGGAAAGCTGCAGCTGTGAGAAAGCTGGACTTTACACCAGTGACACCTGCCGTGCCTCCAAAAGGATTTTCTATCATGTCCTGCTAAAATGCCAGTGGTCCGCTTTGTCCCCCTTGCTCTGAGACCTGAGGGTTATTTAATAATGGTGCAAAAACCACAGAGTTGTGGGAATAGACAGCTTGAGTTCTCAGCTAACAGTTCATATATTGAGTCTGTTCCACTTCCCTGCAAGTTTCCTGTGGTGCAAAAGGTGTAAAAACTGCATTGTACAACGTCACCTTAGAATACCTGAAGGTCTCTCGTTTCACTCTGGTGGGATGTTTTTTGGGCTGGGAGTACTACACCTTGCTGGGTGTTTCATAGCACCCTGGTGTGAACTAGAGGTTATTCTGAGAATTGGGAAAGGAAGACCTGGAGGAAAAAGGTTTAGTTATCTTTTGTAGCTGCCAACTTTGTGTCTTCTTTGTATGGTAGTCATTTATCTTAATGATACCTTTTTGTTTATTTGTTTGCTTCTATTTCTCACTGTAGGGCACTTTCCTTGTCTTTAAATTTGCATGGCAATAATCAGTACATTCCTAATCTGCTAAGGTGTTTAAAGATGGTTGTTGTAGTTGGGGTGTGTGTGATGTTTACATTGAATTTAGGCCTGCAAGTACAAGTTTACTTTCTCCTCTCCTATCTGCTGTGTTGACCATGTACTTTTTTTTTTTTACACTGCTGGAGACAAGATCAGAGGGCTAATTGTCATCACCTTATGATACCGACATGGAGGCTTTAATATCCACTATCAATTTAGTGCAACGCTGTTAATTCAATAAAAGGGCACGTTCCTATACAATGTATAATTAACCTTTAGAACTCCATGCCACTTACCACATTGAGTGTAATAACTTAGAAAATCCAAAAACCTGGATGATTTTTTGACATCTTTTATGAGAAAATGCTGTTAAATTAGTAGGAATCATATATATTTTCTGAAAATTGATGTAAGTCTTCATACATCCAGGTTCATGTCTAACAATATTATATTTGCCCTGTGGTCAAATTATTCTGCTACTGTCTACCACAAGATTTCTTGTTTGATCTTCTGAAGCATATGATCCTTGTCACTGAGAGATGTGAGTTTCTGAGCCAGGTGATCACTGCTGTGATCAAGTAAGGCTTTTCCTCTTAAAGTATTAATCTCTGATGCTATGTGATCTAATTGTTGCTGAAAGGTGACGTTTCAGAAGACTATTTTAATGAGAAAAACACTTTACTCAGCTAAATTTTCTGACTTACGAACATTTATTTTTTTTTAGTTATAAGCTTGACAGAAGACCACTGTGTAACTATGGAAGGAAAATGAAAATGAGCTGGAAAATTGATTTTACAGTGAACAAATAGTTACATTTTTCTTTTTTTGGGGGAAAAGTAATGTGAATGTTGCTGGGGTTTTAGGAATCTTTATGCTGGCTGGTCATGTTTTCCATATAGCATGTTGAGCTAATAGTGAAGTTTAACAACTATGTACTCAGAAATATTCCAAGTGGAAATGAAATGGGAGTAAGAGGAGAAAGAAAAAATATCCTTAATAGTAACCGTAAGCTCACCTGATTGTGGGAGTGTTCAAAATTCCTGCTGGAGACCTGTTTTATCAAAGACTCCAGTTTCTAGTGAAGCTGTAAACATCACATTCTCATAATTAGCACAGTAATGGGGAAGTATTGAAACCCTTTGACTGCAGTCTTTTTCAATTTAAAAACACAGTTGAAATCCAGCTCATTTTTGGAAGACACCTTCTGTCACTTTTAAGAGACCTGATTAGTTAGTTAGTTTAGTTAGAAAAACAACAGAGGAATGTTTCTCTACATGTGTGTTGTGGAGAATTTTCTAAGGTACTTTGCTGATTCGTAATATCAAGAATAGAGATGCCTGTGCTTATCAGTCTGTGTGTAGAAAAGGAGCAAGAGGAAGTCTTACCAGCCAGAGCAGACCTGCAGGGCTGCACAGGCCAGCTGATGCTGAGAGAAGCACTGCCCAGATTTTTCTTGCAAGTTTAGAAGAGTTCCTTGGACTGTGGATCATTAGGGGAAAACAATAATAACAGGGAATATACTTGCCTTTCTTAGTCTATACACACAAATATCCAGGTTTGATTGGCAAATCAGGTATTTGCCAAGTATGTGACTCAGAGATGTGATACAGAGCTAACGTGGCTAAATCTGATTCTGCTTTAGTGTATCATAAAAAGTCTTTGTAATCTTCCTTTTCATTTCTGTTCTCCTAATTCCAATTACTCATTCTTGATGTTCACAGCACATCCTCTGTGATGAAAACCACTTTTTCTTTCAAACATTCTTTATAGAGCTAGGAGAGGTTTACATCCACGTTTACCAGCTCGGCTTTCAGTAGCGCTTCATGCTTTCTTCTCTTGAGTCGCTCATCACTGCAGGGCTCACGGTGTCCAGAATAGTACAGAGCCTGCCTGTGCCATCCCATCCTGTGCAGAGCTCTTTCATTGCCTGGGGCACTTCTGCATGCCTCCAACCCCAGCTCTTGAGTGGCTATAAAACATGAAGCATGCCTAGAATTATTTTAAAATACTATTGCTGTTTGAAGGCTGTAAATTCCTGCTTGGCCTCCTAAATAAATGTGTGGGCTTTATGGAATTCAGATTTCTTTTGTTCAGAACTTTTCTGCTATTTTAAGTGAAAATTCAGCCTCAGGTTTTCCCTTTGCACAGTTTGAACTTTTTTCGTGTTCTGTGTTTCTGTCTGGGAAGGTAGCCCTTGTGCTTTCATCTGTGTTTTGTCTCTAGATCCTATAGTTCAGTTCTTGCTTGAGTTGGGCAAGACTCGGTTCAGGAGAACAGTGGAATGTCAATTAACATTTAGATTGCTGTAGTGTATGCTCAGAGCATATCTGTGAACAGCAAGGCTTTGGACAGTGTCCTGAATACAGCCAGTAGGTTAAAAATGTTTTCTTCTTTTTAATTGTAGTGAAAGCTATGGGAGATTTGAAGGATGTATGGTGTATCTCAGTGATTGCAAAGGCCCTTGTTTTTAAGAGGAAATTAAGGAAAAAGTTGTGACTGCTCAATGAATTGAGATATTTTTCTAGTCATTGGGACTAGAAAGATGACATTGTATATACTTTTGACTTTCTGAATTTTCATTTGCCAGGTACCTGTTTGTATTACAGCTCCGGCAAGATATTCTTTCAGGGAAGTAAGTATCTCTTTGCTCTTGCAGCTGTAATTTAAAGTATTTATAATAGTTAATCTCTCAGTGAGTTAAAAATTTGCTTCAGCTGTGTGATTGTTTTAATTCTCTATGGTATTAATGCACAGATTATGAACATGATTTACAGTTCCACATGCGGTTTTTTTCCCTTTAGAATACAGTGATCTATGGCTTTTGTGTGCATCATGACTGTATTATTGACAGATAGAATGGGTAAAGACCTTTGGATTGACCAGGTGTTGGAAATGGGTAAAGCGAGCGGAGACTGTCCTTTGACTTTCATGACTCGAAAATGTAACATGGATTTGCCATATTTTTCATTATGGTAGGTAAAATAGAGGAGAAAAAGAAGTGCAACATTTTCTGTAGAGGTCAACCCTGCAAAATATTTGGTGTGTTTATAGTCTCACCTTGGCTAATAAACTCACACCTGCTCTATTGTTATTTTTTTCATAACAACAAGACAGAACAAAAAAAAACAAACAACAAAACCACATGTTCTAAAAGACAGTGTTGGAGCAAAAACTATTTCTTAGTAAATTTATTGTTGCATTTATCAGCTCAAGCTTGTTTTATGGTGGAGCATATAATGTGTTTATTGCTAACTGGAATGTGGCAACTTTGCAAATCATACAGTAATAATCATATGCAAGCAAAATAATTGTAGATATTTTGTGTCATTGATAGCTTGTGGATCTTGTGGAAGCTAATGTTTCCTTTTAATATATCAAAACTACTTTTTAGCTTTACTGCAAGAACTCACCGAGAAAAAGACATTTTTATAGCTTGCTTTTTTTCTTTTTAAGACTGAAATGCCCATATGAAACTGCTGTTGAACTAGCAGCTCTGTGTCTTCAAGGTATGCAACCTTTTGAAAGCTGTTTGTCTAAATGTACTTAAGAAACACACCTAGTAGTTTCTTCTCATACTTTGTTACTAATGATTTCTGATTGGTCATATATAAATGCCATTCCTGTACCTGAGGAGAAGAATTTTAGGAAGGTTGCTTCCCTGCTGCTGCTCTATTCATAACTTCTGAACTGCATTAGCCAGCACCGGCGCTTGCTGAGGGGAAGGAGCCTGAAAGACCTGGGTAGACAAAGGTTTCATAGAAACCAAAGACTGACTAGGGAAGAAAGGCCTCAAGTAGTTCCCCACTGAGGAGGAAGCTGTGGCGTGTGCACTGTTAGCTCTTCAGCCTGAAGAGGCTGAAGCACACGCTGTGTGGCAGGCAGGTCTCTCTCTGCGGGTGCAGCTTTGACCAGGGGCTGCCTGGCCAGTGCTGGGGAGAGCCAGGAGGTGGCTGCAGGGCGGGAGGGAGGTGCTGTGGAGGAGAGAGTTATGTGGAAGGGAAGAACTGCAATGATTCTGCATCAGGAGCAAGGGTTACAAGTTAGAAAAAAACAAATCCTAGGACACTAGGTTTCACTAGTTTATTGTAGGAAAAAGTTGTTTTTTTTTTAATTGCTGCAAACACATTCATACCAATAAATTTTCATTCCATTTCAGGTGGTTTGTTTTGCAGATAGGGATGAAACTTGTATCATGAAGCTCAAATCAAGTTCACTTTTTCTACAAAAAAAAAAAAAGTGCAGTGATCTGGATCATTCTAGGCATATCAGCAGCACAGTGAATTTATATGACCTGACAGTCAAAGCTGGGAATTTAGTTCCAAGCAGCAGCACGTGTAAATCTTAAGGCAGTGAGTTATTTTATTTTACAGTTTCCATCTGCACTGGTCTGGCACAGCTCTGATAGTTAGGTGTGCAAAAAACTGGTGCAGAGAAACTCCCTTTGTCTTTTTGAGAATATCTGGAGCCCGTATTTGATTTGTTGCTTCCATTTTCACAGATAAAAACACCAGTAACCTCACCCCTGGTCTAAGCAAGGAGAACCAGCCAAGAATAATAGGCTGATGCCTCAACATTTTGGGTAGTGATTAAAACCTGTGATTACTATGTAAATGCAATACAGTATTCATCCCTCATGTTTATAATGTCTCCGACTAGGTACCAAAACTAACACTTCTTGGCACTGTCTGTGGGAACATACTTAAATTGTGGTAGCATTTTTATACTCTTCTGCTGGGTTGTTTTGTTTTTTTCAGTTTCAGTTTTCCGCTATTTTGACATCATTGCAATACGTTTTGCCAAAATTATTTCATTATTGCAACTAAAGTATTGATCTCTGCTGGCATATGCTATACTTAACATTTTTATAGCATTTCTTACATTTTATTGACGTTGGAAGCTTTTAACTAAGCAGAAGAATTTAAAGAAGTGTCAAATTATTATTCCCTTCTCGATAGGTTACATGTAGTCTGTGAAATTCAACCTCGCTCCTTGGTGTTGCTTTCCTAAGAGTGAAGAAGTGATAAAAGCTATTTAGGAACTGATGCCCTAACCCTCTGAAAGAAAGGCCGTTTCTCTTTACAGAGCAGCTTTAAACTTCATAGATTTTCTTTACCAAGGAAGCTGTTCTGTTACAGTAATTCTTTGTTGTTTCAAAAAGCAGTTTCATGGGCTGGCGTTTTGTGTGACTCATCTTTCTAATGTTATTTGCTGGTTTGTTGCCAGTCTGTGAAGGAACTTTAGTAGCAAGTAACTTTGATCTGCAGTATGGGTAACTTGTGAAGCAGATGCATAATCATACACTTCACTTAGGGTTTATCTATGGAAAAGTTGGAACCAGGCTTGAATCATGAATGCTAGAATAAGGTTTTAATTACCTGATTAGTCTTCCATGGCTTTCGCATTTTACCAGGTATAACTTCTGAAACTATGAATTGAACTGAAAATTAAACTTTTCCTCTGATCTCCAGTTTCCAGTTCTAATCATAAGACATCTTCATGGGATAGTTCAAAATTCCCCCCCCCCCTTCAGTTTAAAAGAATCAACAATATATTTGCAGATAAACACATTTTTGCAGTTTTCAAAAACTTTCTGGGAATCTGTTAAAAACATCCCTCAGTTTAAGCAGTTGCTTATTAACACAGATAAGATGAAGCACCACTCCTATGAGGAAAGGCTGAGAGAATTGGAGTGGTTCAGCCTTGAAGAAGAAAATGCTACACAGAGAGAATGCTATCTTCTGGTGGGCTTTCAGTACTTAAAGGGGGCCTGTAGGGAAGATAGGGACTATAGGAAACATACATTTTAGCATGTATATACATAGAATGTATATAAATGAGTTACGTAACACTTTCCCCACCTATCCCCTTTAAAAACAACAACAACAAAAAATACCCCGCAAACGAATAAAAATCCACAAACACCCAGATGCAGGTGTGCCAAAGCATGATACTTTGTCATAAAAACTCAAATGAAGAGATGAGTCTTCTGCTGTGCCCTCGTGTTAAAAAATACTAATGCTGCTGAGCCATTCAAGGAACATAATTGCAGGAAAGACACAAGTCAGACCACCGCTGCACAGACCCCATGCTTCCTCTTCTGTTACTGCCCTTCTACCCTGTGTAGGGGCCTGATGAGGCTCTTACTACCTTTTACTCTGAAAAGCCATTTCTTAGAGAGGAAGGTGATGACATCATTTGTTTGCCTGAAAGTGAATAGATAGTGAGTGCAGCTATTAAGAAACAAGAGTGGTATTCTTCTTGTGCCTAATACTTCTGCCCTAGCTTCTCTGTGTATCTTTTGTCCTACATGCTCATGATTCTTCTCATCCTTACACATCCTCTTTATGCCACAGTCAGCCTTCGCTCCTTGCCTTCTCTCTCAGTTAACTAGTAGAGATATCTCCTATGTTTTTCCTAGATGGTTGTCCACACATCAAACTTCTGTTTATTTTTTCACCTGAAGCCCTCCTTGCTAATGTGTTTGTTGTGGCCCCCACTTTTGTACTGGAGACCAGACTCCCAGTAATTATTAGTAACATCTGCTTTAAATAGGCTTTCAACTTAGATGAAATAGATGCAGAGCTGAGATACCTCTGTTAAAGAAAAAGACATGTAGATAAGAATACTGTAACTCACCAGGGAAGATTACTGTTGAAGATAATAAATGTGTGTGAGGTGGTAGTTAGAAATGAAGATCAGTTAATTTAGTCTATTTAGTATCCTCAGGAATGGTAACGTGTGAGTGAAGCTCAAGTGCTCAAAACCAGCTAGTAGGTGTATTGATCAACAGATTGGATTTTGACTATAACTTCTGTGTTCTAATGTGTCTGCTAGGTATTTTTGAAGACTGAGAATGAATTAAATTGTTGGAACTGTTATGTGTAAAATTGCCCTGAAGCAATCAGTTTTCTTAAAGGGATTTAATTTCCCTCTCTGCTTTTTAAAAATAATAATAAATTATAAATAATAATAATTATAATAATAAATATTATTATTTATTAGTAATCATAATAGTAGTCAAGAAACAGCAATTTACAGAGGCCTGGTTTGATATCACATACCTATGCAATGTGGCATTTCTGAGCAGTTTATTGGCTGCTGATGTTTGTCCCACAGTCCCAAAGCAGTGACATTGGAGGCTCTGGGATATTCCAGGAGCAAAGCATGTTGCAGGCACAAGACAGTTAAGGGCATCAGTTGCTGAGATGCTCAGCACTTGCATCTCCTGCTGAGCTGAACAGAGTTTGAAAGTGTTCGGTTCCTAGAAAATAAGACGCCAGGCCCTGAGTAAATAAGTAGGAAGTGACACCTCAGTTATGTTAATGCTTCAGCATTTCTTTCTTGATAATTACTTAATCTGAACATTACACCACCACTATGGGTTTAAAAAAAACAACAACAATTGAATCACTGGCTTCTTGATATTGGGTATTATCTTCGTGTTTTGAAGTTAACAGTAATGTAACAAAGTGTGTAATAGAATGGGAAGTGTTTTGGAATGAAAAGTAGGACCTCATTGCAATGAGAGGAAGTTTAAAGTAACCTCTTCTGAAACAGTAGTGCATTGATTTTTTGTTTTAGTAGAAACTTTATTTCCTTCAAATACTTTACAATCCAGAGAAGCAGCTTTAGTTAAGCAGGGTTAGTTCTAACATTCTTGAATGTCAGAATTCTGTACCGTAACTTACACTGCTTCTGCAAATGCATTGGTCTGACTTTTGCTGTAAAATCTGATTTTAATTTGGAGGTGGGTGGAGGGGTTAACTTACAACATAAGCACAATTGTATTCTTCTACAATATACTTAGAAAATCACAAACTATTATTATCCTTGTAGAGATTATAGCATTAAATGTTTCTGGTTATCCCATGATCTTTATGTTTTTAACTTTTCAACTGATTGATTGCAGCTGAGCTGGGAGAGTGTGAGCACCCAGAGCACACACCAGAACTCGTGTCTGAATTTAGGTTTGCACCAAACCAGACTGAAGCAATGGAATTTGACATTTTTCAGAAATGG